ATCATTGATTTAAAATTTATCATAAGGTAGAAACATGTTTGTTGTATTTATGCCGGTCGCACCTCGTGTTTCTATGTGCAAAATGTGTGTTTTTTTATACATTTAGGAGACGAATATCTATCTTTAGAAATTTTCCAGCTTCTTCCTGAAATTTAATTCCTACCTCCTTCACCTTAATCTTTATGTTCCAAATTCCCAACAATATTTTTATGAGTTCTAAATACTTTATTTGGGTTCATCATATTCCAAAGTGTCTCTAGAAATTTTTTCCGAATTTTTAGAGTTTTCGGAATATTTTTCACGGTTTAAATATCAATTCTGGACTTTTCAAGAATTATTTTATAAACAAAATTAATTAATTCCAAAAATAATAAATCTCTCATTTTTCCCAACGGGTCAAAGCCCATGTGCAATAATCCTAATAAATCCTAAAGACACACGTCTTTATTTACTAATGGGGTTTAATGTTTATTCAGGCTCATTACTAAATGTGGAGGGTGCAACATTAATTAGTATCATATTGTTAGTTGATGTAGATGTGGTGAGTTTTTCTCCCTATATATGAGTACCAACCCCTTGGGCAAAGCACACCAAAACTAATATAAGGTGAGTCCATAGTTTGAGAAATCCCTCGTGTAGTAAATTAGATTTTTCTCCTTCTCTCGTCGTCGCCGCGCTGCCCAGCCCGGTGTAGCACCTGATTTTAAGAATAAAATCAGATACGCACCATATGTGAACTCCCCACATCTACATCAACTAATAATATGGTACTAATTGATGTTGCACTCTCCACATTTACTAATGGGCCTAAATAATCATTAAAGCCCATTAATAAATAAATGCATGGGCCTTAAGAATTTATTAGGATTATTGCACATGGACTTTGAGCGTTGGAAAAAATGTGAGAGATTTATTATTTTTGGAATTAATTAATTTGGTGGATAAAATAATTCTAGAAAAATCTAGAATTATTATTTAAGCCGTGAAAAATACTACGAAAGCTCTGAAAATTCGGGAAAATTTCCAAAGATATTATGGAACATGAGAAACCCAAATAAAGTATTTGGAGCCCATGATAAGATAATTTGGAGCATAAAAAAATTATGCTCACAGATAAGTAGGAATAAGTTCCAGAAAAAACTAGAAAAAATCATGAGAAGTTTATAGAGATTGATTGACGAACGAGTAACTAAAAAGAGTTATTTACGTTACAAAGAAAAGATTTTAGGAAGCTTACAACGAAAACTTGAGCCGAGAAACAAAAAATTTGATTTAAAAAAAGATAAAGGTATGCCGGAGAAGGAAAATCGACCTACTAACGTATTTTAAAAACTTTGCTCACTCTCAACCCACAAAGAAACAACAAGCAAACATCACATCATCTAAACGCCCGTCAAAATTAGAAAACTTTAAAAATCCATATTTTTTCTATAACTAAATTTACGCTAGCTCAAACTAAACTTGGTAAATTTTATCCAAATATTAAAATAATTTATTTTATTTATTGTTTTGTCGGCCATCGGTAAGTGCCCCCACGCAACACTTGTTCCATCTATCTTCTACGTTTCTCCAGCAAGCCTCCCTGGCCGCCGCTTCTTTCTATCCAACTGCCAACGTTACGCTACATATTTGCATGCCCCTGTACATCAGTACATGCCAACCATGTTCTACACCGCATACACAAGCAAGCTCGTCACCATCTTACCTATTGCAAGTTACGTGCCATTCCACATGTAAGCATGTATATCATTTATATTTTGGTTAAGCTCTTGATGACGTGCACCGTGCGTGCTCCGTGCCCTGCTCCAGTTAGCTGTTCCCATTAGCTTGATGACATCACATGACATCACGTATATGTTTTGTGGCCGTTTTTCTTTAAAAAAACAAATTTAGAAATACAATGGGAATACACATTTACATCCAATCATCCTGAGCCTTCCGTTTTTAGATCGACGCTTCATATTAGAAGATACCCTTTGCTGGTCTTTTTGCTAAAGAGACCCTCAGCTTCCTGCATATTCCACCCATCGTCCAGACTGAGATTAAAATCAGATTTTGATTTATTCCGAAAATAAAATTCTAGGTATTTACAAAACTGCCACTATCTTGTTTAGACCAAATCTTCTACATTTTAACTCCGTTTTGACCCGTCCAAGTTGCGTTAGATTCATTACGACATAATCTACGCATTAGTAACAATGTTTACCATGTCTCTAGCTCTAGAATTTTTATGATTTAAATTCTGACTTAAACAATGATTATGCATCTGGTTTATAAATAAAATATGATTAATTTTACTTTAGTTTTCTAATTCAAATTTAAACTTGACTCAATTCGATTTAGATGTTTCTTTGAAATATCTTATACATGTTTTATATAATTATTAAAACAAATGAAGCCTATAATTTTCTTTTTAAAGTAAATCTTTCAGTAGCCGTTTCTTTCCAACCGTAGCTCCTATTAGAGTGCTTCCCGCGACTGTGTGTTCGTAGCGATGCGTAGAATCGTGTTTAAAACTCTTTTATTTATTTTTCTATGATTGATGTACTGTTCTGATTTAGTTCTATTGTTTGCTTCGTGTATGATTGTATGGATGCTTGTGTGGTGCTTTATGATTACGTCCAGTCGGTGAAATATACGTGGTGATCAAGAAAAAGAAGAACGTTGAAGATTAAAGCTTACCGAAGGATCGATGTTTTAAGGCAAGTATAGCATGAGACCATCCTTATTACCTATTCACCTTTAATCACTTAATTCATATTGCATGTGTCTACCTTGTTGCCAATAAGGATATCCTAGATATTTGATATCTTGTACCTTGATACCTATGGGGTATTGCATTGGGTAGTATGATGCTAGTGCTCAACTACAACCATGATTTTATAACTTGACTAATGGTATATGCAATAAACACTAAAAGATATTTTTTTAGCAACACGGAAACAGGGGCCTGGAGTGTTTAGCTACTTTCTAAATGTTCTAGATTCCTCTCCCTAAGGCCTTATCTGTAAGTGATCATCCGGTACTTACAGTATAGCTGTGAGGGCTACATGGCTCTGGCTTTAGCTCAGTGTGAGGACCTTTTCTAGCTTGTTAGTGGTTATCTTTATTGGCGTAAGAATGGCTTGACGAATCAGGTATAGTACGGCCTCTGTCTCCTTGAGTATAGGCTGCACGTCATTGTGCCATCGGGAAGAGTGGCTCTATATCTGTTTGCCGAGTGAATCTAATGGCCCTAACTTGTTAGATGAACCTTTGAAAGGTTTTATAGTGAACCCTGCCGACCTTCCTTGGTAGTGGGTTAAAAGGCTCGCGGCCTCAGACGAAAGGGTAAATCACGACTCACAGTGAAAGTGTACAACCTCTGCAGAGTGTAAAACTGGTATATCAGCCATGCTCACGGTCACGAGCGGCCTTGAACCCTTACGGAATAGATGATCACTAATGGTTAACGATGATGAACATGGATGATACTAATGATAAAGATGCTCACTAATTATTACTGTTTATGCTATTTATTATTCATGTTTACTTGATCATGTGTTTATATGGGCTTGTGATAAACTTGTTGCTACTCAATCGCTAAAAGATGACTCATTAAAAGTTAATCACAGTTAAACTAGTGTTAGCATTTTGAGCCTCATGAACCCCATGTTATATTTGTTGAGTACGACATATACTTACGCTTGCTTTACTTGTCGAATATTTGGATGAAAATTTCGGATGGGTACCAGATTGCTAGAGTTTTGAGGAATTAGTCTTGTGATCAACCAGTCATTTATCCCTGTGGATTTGGAGTCTTCGCCTGAAGATCGGAGTTGTCTTTCCGCTGTCTATACTCTGAGGTTATATTCTTTATACTAAGTACGTTATATATTGAGCATCGTCTATTGATATTACCCTTATTTGTAGTTATATGTGAGATTAGACTTTTTGGGCTCACATATGGTGTGTATCTAGTTTTGTTCCTAAAGCTGGGTGCTACACGCAGTGCCGCAGGCCGTAGCTTCTCCCCTCCGCATCCCTCGCGCACGGTCCTGGATCTAGGCCTCGGACGCGCTGCTGGTGCCGCGCAGGACGCCCCTCGCTCCCCTCGGCCCTCGCGCACGGGTGCCGATGCCGCGCCCCCACGCGAACGCCCCCTCCCCGCCTCCACTCCGACGGCCGCGACAGCGGGGGGTTCCGCGGGCTGTAGAGACCCGACGGACCCGTTCAGGCGGAGATCCGGAGCACCGCGCTCCTAACTCCCTTCCCCTCCCACCTCTGCGCCACGGACGCTGACGCCCCCTCCGTCTCCTCGCTGGTGTCAAGGGCCCCAAGGGCAAGGTCGTCGGCAGCCACTGCATCTCCGGCTACTCTCGCTTCCTCCCCTTCCCCCTCTCTCTGGGCGCTCGTGCTTCATCGTGGGCCCGAGCTAGCCCAGCACGCTGGACTGGCCATGCTTCTTGGGCTGGCCCGGCCCGATAAATGGCCCAGCAGGCCGTGCCTAGGCCGTAGGTCAGGCACGGTGCCCGCCTTGGCACGGCCCGATAGGCATGACGTGCCATGCCGGCCCGAACCCCATCGGGCCGTGCCTGGCACGGACCCTTCTATATGCATGTACATCCCTAGAGTATTATAAAGATAAAGATAAAGATAAGAAACGGCTCTATCATTTTCACATGATGTTTTTATACTTCCAATAGATAACCACTACTCTGACGAATTCTCGAGGGTTCAGAAGTCGTAGTAGCTAAATTTGTTTCTTCAATGACAAAACAAAGGAGGCCCACCTCGACACGGCGCTCAGTGGCTGGTTTTGGAACACGAAACCAAGCTCACTGCACCAATTCCCATCGGATTAATTATAATTATAATACTCGACTAGTCAGCCAGTCGAACGCGCTAAAACGTGTAGTTTTTTCCTATAAAAACCCCGACCCTGCCTGGTCTTCTCACCATCCATCGTCCAAAACCGTCCCATTTCCCCCTCTTCCTGCTGCCGCATCCTCAGAAACGCAATGGGGACTCGGCAGCGGGTCCTCGCGCCATGGGCGGTGCTGCTGCTCGCGCTGCGTCTTGCCGGTGCCTCCCATGTCATCCACCGGAGCCTGGAGGCCGAGGCGGCACCGCCATCGGTGCCGGCCTCCATTGTCAGCCCCCTGCTCAGGACGGGGTACCATTTCCAGCCGCCAATGAACTGGATCAACGGTACGCTAGCTACTTCTCTTGAAGTTGGAATGAATTAATGGTTCTTGTGCTGTTTTCGTTTTCATGCCGCTCGCTGCAGAAGCGTTGTTGTAACATGGTGTTTGTTTTCTGTGTCCCTGTCCATGTTGGCGGTTCTGATTGCTGGGACGGCGGAACTCATCGGCTGCAGACCCCAACGGTACGCCTTTTACCCAGCCCGTTTCTTGCAGTTATCTTATTCTTATCCCTGTGTTGTGCTGTCCGTTACTAGTGCCTGTTCGTTTGGCTGATAAGGCATAGCTAAAAGTACCGTTGACTGATTTGTTGTGAGAGAAAAATATTATTCGTTGGCTGAAAAAGTATGGCTTATAATCAAGCAAACAGGACGTAGATCTATATAATGTCTGCAAGTATCATGAACAGCTGTACTCGTTACTTAATCGTGGGAGGATGAAATGGCGCATTTTTAAGTGCTGATCTATCTAGTAGCAAAGGACATTTTAACATTCAAAAACAGTGCATGCCCCTTGTGCCCCGCAGACTCCACATGAGGAGGCAGCTCGTAGGGATGTCCTTTTCCTGTGGGTTCTGGGCTCCACAGTCTCTACAGTCTTACACATGTGTAGTATATGGTTTTTAGCGTATACGAATCATCAACATCAAGTGGCGTAAAAGCCGGTCAGTGCAAGTACACGATAGAATCTGACTTCATATAGTATATAGTATAGAGCAACTGTAAATAAAGAAATAAAAAATATTCTACTAGCGAAGGTTAGATTTCTTCAATCAATAGAAAAAGAATACTAATCCTAGTTGACATAGAATTTGGCAACTCTAAGTGCAGCTCCGATGTACTACAAGGGATGGTATCACTTGTTCTACCAGTACAACCCCAAGGGCGCGGTATGGGGCAACATCGTGTGGGCACACTCCGTGTCGCGCGACCTCATCAACTGGATCGCGCTGGAGCCCGCCATCTACCCGAGCATCCCCTCCGACCAGTACGGCTGCTGGTCGGGCTCGGCGACGATGCTGAAAGACGGCACGCCGGCGATCCTGTACACGGGGATCAACCGCCCCGACATCAACTACCAGGTGCAGGTGCTGGCGTTCCCGAAGAACGCGTCGGACCCGCTGCTCCGGGAGTGGGAGAAGCCCGCGGCGTACAACCCGGTGGCGGCGCCGGCGGACGGCATCAACGCGACGCAGTTCCGCGACCCGACCACGGCGTGGTACGCGGCGCACGACGGGCACTGGCGGATGCTGGTGGGCAGCGTGCGGGACGCCCGGGGCATGGCGCTCGTGTACCGGAGCCGGGACTTCAGGACGTGGAGGAAGGCGAAGCACCCGCTGCACTCGGCGCTGACGGGGATGTGGGAGTGCCCGGACTTCTTCCCCGTGTCCGGGCCGGCGCTCCGGGACGGGCTCGACACCTCCGACGCCGGCGCCAAGTACGTGCTGAAGGCCAGCCTGGACCTCACACGGTATGACTACTACACCATCGGGTCGTATGATAAGAGCACGGACCGGTACTACCCGGATAACCCCAACGGCGACTACCACCGGCTCCGCTACGACTACGGCAACTACTACGCGTCCAAGACGTTCTATGATCCGGCGAAGCGGCGGCGGGTGCTGCTGGGGTGGGCCAACGAGTCGGACAGCGTGCCGGACGACAAGGCCAAGAGCTGGGCCGGCATCCATGTACGTCCTCTTTACTACTGCCTGTTTGCTGCTGCTAGCTACGCCATCACTCCGATCCATCAGTGAGAGAGAGATTGAGAGAGCTGCTATCACCCGCACGCATGCGCCTACTACTCCTACTCCTTGGCTAGCTAGAAATTTCAAAGCGTTGAATCGTTGGCATGCAACGGATCGGATCGGACGACTTGTTTGACTGCTTGTGGGTGCTCGTGACAGGCGATCCCACGGAAGCTCTGGCTCGACCCCACCGGGAAGCAGCTGCTGCAGTGGCCCATCGAGGAGGCTGAGAAGCTCAGAGGGAAGCCCGTCAGTGTGGGCGCCAAGCTGGTTAAGCCCGGCGAACACTTTGAGGTCACAGGCATCGCGACTTACCAGGTTGGTTGGTTAGTTTTACTGCTACTTTCGATCGATGATAAACTGTTTTTGAAATTAAAATTTTCATTCGTGTCAATTAGTGAATATGTTATCCACTAGCTAGATAGTGGCGGCAAGGGTAACATGCATGTGCGCGCGCGCACGCAGCAGCTTATCACGGGCGCACACTACGCACCGCGAAGAACAACAAACAACTGGTGCTAGCTAGTATGTAGCTAGTACCTGTCAGTATAGTCAAGCTTCGCAACTTGTGGGAAGTATATACTAGTAGTAGCACTGTACGTTGCAGTCAAGGACCCCACGTGCAGAGTATCTGTCTAGTCCAGCCAAGATCCGATGGTCCATACATATGCCTTGTCGGTTACACGAGCCCACTCCTACGCTTGTCTTGCTCTGCCACTTGCAAACACCGGAATACGACGGGTCTCCTCGCCGTCGCAGATCTTTCACGGTTTCACCTCCTTCTCTGCTGGTTTACGTACACACCTAGCTAGCCTGCAACACTTGTTTCTGTTTGAAGTTTGAACAATCTTCTGTCACACACACACACATACCTGTCGCGTAACAAATCACCAACCAGACAGCAGACAGGACATGAGCAGAAGAATCTTCCAACGCACACGCCTGTTATTTTCCAAGACAAGTTAATCTTCCAGTCCACATATTAATTGATGCCACGTACGTGTGACCACTGATTACATTGACTGACAAAGCCAATCTCCTAAGTACTTTCTGAAATGTTTTGTTCTTCCGGCGGAGAGTGAAGCTGAAAGACGCTACTCCTATATGTTGACCCATCGATCGTCGATCTTGTGATGGCAGGCTGATGTTGAGGTGACCTTCGAGATCTCGAGCTTGGAGAAGGCAGAGCCCTTCGACCCGGCGTACGACGACGACGCGCAGAAGCTGTGCGGCGTCAAGGGCGCGGACGTCAAGGGCGGGGTGGGGCCCTTCGGCCTGTGGGTGCTGGCTTCTGCCGACCTGCAGGAGAAGACGGCCGTCCTCTTCAGAGTCTTCAAGGACGGATACGGCAAGCCCAAGGTGCTCATGTGCACCGACCCCACCAAGTATGGCCCACCTACCTACATCCTTCGCCCTTCTTGCATCACAACAGCCACATTGCACATGTGCATGCACATAGAGGGGGTACATGTATGCCCCCGCTATGTGGACGCATATGCTTCTTCAGATTACAATGTTCACACAAAACTAAATAGATGGCTTGTGTTTTCTCCCTTCTTGTGTTGGGCAGGTCATCTCTTAGTCCAGATCTGTACAAGCCGACCTTCGCGGGCTTCGTCGACACCGACGACATTTCAAGCGGGAAGATTGCTCTTAGAAGCTTGGTACGTACAGACGTCTCTGAAGCAAATGTCATGCACAATTGTTGACTACTGCTGTTAAGCAATTGGATTACGACTTATCACTTGACTGATCCTTATATTATCTTGTTGCTGTTTGTTGTTTTCTTGTGCGACATGGCATCTATATACAGATCGATCGGTCCGTGGTGGAGAGCTTCGGCGCGGGAGGCAAGACGTGCATCCTGTCACGGGTCTACCCGTCCATCGCCATTGGAAAGGATGCTCACCTCTACGTTTTCAACAACGGTGAGGTGGACATCAAAGTGTCAAGCCTGACTGCCTGGGAGATGAAGAAACCGCTCATGAACGGCGCCTAGAAGCGTGGATGACTTTATTCGTTTCTCTTCAACGACCGTACCTTTGCTGCCAGAAATACTATTGATTATTGATTGTTGAGGTCCTTCAGTTTTCGCCCTCCATCTACGTATACACAAGTGACGACTAGTAGTTTGAGTTGTTTTACTTCCATTGGCTGGATGATGATGATGATGATGATTCTTCTTCTTCTTCTTCTTCTTATGTGCACGCACACAAATGGGAGTATATGCTTAGCTGTCCGGCAAAGAGAAATTGATTACGCTTCTTCTTGTATTGTACAATAATATGAGATGAATAAAAGCCTGCTAATTTTACAGTGTCAAGTAACAAGGGCTCCTCCTCTCTCTTCTTCCAGATTATATATATGACCAAGATGCTAACCTGACTTACATCTGACGAGCTAACTAATCTAGTCTAATTTTATTTTTCGAAATTTTTAAGTGGTAGAGCTCATTTTGCCTCTGATTCTCTATGTAATGGGATTCTCTAAGAAAAATGATCATGTGACTGAAAATGGTTATCTAAGATAAATTATGTATATGAAGTGATTAGGTGCGAAAGTGAATCGGGAGAGAGCCTACTTTTTTCAGCCCACGGTGTCCTAACTAGTTCATCACTATAACAAAACAGCACAAAGAAGGCACACCCAATTTAGTGACATGAAAATGTAAAACTAGTCTATGATTTTAGGAGTTTCTATGATGCATTAATTTTAGATAACCACTTGACGGAATTCACATATATTTCTGCAAAAAAAACACCAGTTGGCAGACACTAGTATAGAAAACATTTTCAGAGGTGGCCATTTTTTTCAAAGGTGGGCAGGCTGTCCACCTCTAACAAAAGGTCATTGTTAATCACTTTACAGAGGCGGTCCGAATGCCCGTCTTTAAAAATTAATCTGAAAATTAATTAACAGAGGCGAACATCTTACGATGCTCGCTTCCGTTAATGGTTTCTAGATAACCTAGAAATTAATGAACTCATGATCTACAACTTAGAACTAACACCTTCTTGCCACTACACCACAAAATCACTTGTGAGTATATATAGGATTCTATCTTTTTTACAAATATTTTTGTAATTTTGTTTTGAATATTTTGACTACTAAATGAACTCAAATGAAAAAAATCTTTAACTACAAAGTTTTAAATCTTGTTGACCATTATAACTTTGGTATAGGATGTGTCTTCATCCAAGATTGTTTGAAAAACTCAGAAAATTTGAGTAATTTAAAACATATATTTGAGAGACTAAACAACTTTAATTAAAAAAACTTATCAACAAAAATATTTTAGAACAGGTCGGCAAACAAGAACTTTGGTATTAACTATGTGAATATTTAAGGTCGTTTAAAAATTATAGATTTTCAATTTAAAATCTATGAACTTAGAACACAAATTTAGGACTCGATATCACATCCGGTCTAGTTTGAAATTTGGCCCATAATGGCCCATGTGCATGTTAATGAGATATTGTGGAGGGTTTAGTCCCATCTTGGTTGTTATGAGTGGGCTAGACCAACATATAAGGCTTATAGAGTCCATCCCACCATCCCCAGGTTAATCCTTCTACGTGAAGCGAGGACGAAAGCGTAAGTGGGATGGTGGTAGGTGTGGTTCACTCAACATGCAAAGTTGATCTAAGCCGTTTGAATTTGAAAGTGCATCTAGCCCTTTAGTGGGTTTTGGATGATTGAATGACAACGTGATTAAATGTCTAACTCGTTTGCTAAGTGTGGACAGGTAATAGGTTATCTCACAGGTACTTAATGAAAGCTAAAATGATGTGTTGTTGTATAAACAATCTAGTTCAAGCACAAGACAACAATGCAAATAGAATTCATGCAAAGGCTTATTTATTGTGGGATTTTCATGTACTATGTGAAAGCAAGCTCGGTAAAAACTAGTTGATGAGACATGAGGGATTGCATATGTAATGGTCTCATATTTGAAGCTTGCTAAATTGAAATTAAAAAGATGACAATACAAATGAATGGATGATTCAACACAAGATGTGACTTGATGGCTTGAGATGGTGAAGATAGCAAGGAAAGGCTTCGAGGTACTAAGCAAGGGTGAAGGACAAGCGATGGCTTGGCAGTCGAAGAACCTAGCTAGGGTGAAGAAGAAAGTACTTGCATTTAGTTGAGGTACTAATCAAGCTATGATGGTCATATTATCATGGAGGATCAAATCTATATTAGACAAAGTGTTGAAAGTGACTTGATGCATTTGGAGTTATTCATATTTAACAAATAGTATCAAGTCGCGTGCTCAAGAAGACTATGCTCAAGTGAAAAAGATCAAAGTTGACTTGTTGGCACCCTCACTTGATGAAGATTGGAATACACGGCTTCGGTTGAAAGAGATCAACTCAAAACGTTTAAATTGGTTATACTTTTAAATTTGAGTTAATAGGAATGTGATACTATTAAGAGGGATGCATCATGTTGATAGATAATGTTTTATAAGTGCTCAAGCCAACCCATATGAGTTTATAGAGGGTTTGAGAGACAAAAGAGCTAACTTGTTTTGCTGGTCTGGCTGTACGGTATTGATACCAGACGTGTCCGGTATGTGCCCAGCCACGATAAAATTCTTGATGTTCTTAGGTTGGTTCGTAGGGAGTTTAGACGGTCGGGAGTTCTGACGTCTCGCACTTAACTGACTTGGAGAGTTCACTGTGGTGGTCATACCGAACGTGTCCAGTATTCATACCAGACGTGTCCGGTATGGATGGCCAGAGGCCAACGGCTACTTTTCAAATGCCTTGAGGGTCGGGAGTTCCGACGTGAGTCGGGAGTTCCGGCATGTGTCGGGAGTTCTGACACCTCACATACTTTAACTCAGTTACCGTAGTTTTCAAATGTGCTGAGGGTCGGGAGTTTTGACATGAGTCGGGAGTTCCGACGGTCGGGAGTTCCGACATTCATCGGGAGTTTCGACGCCTCACAACGACACTGTAACTCAGTTATCGTTGGCGCAGTGTAAGTCATACCGGACGTGTGGCAATGGCTATAAAATGGCTAGTTTTTCCAAGGGGGCTATAAATAACCCCAAGCCTCCACCATTGGAGGCTGCTGATTCTGCTGGTTGCAATACACATTTTTGAGCCTTGCCAACTCTCCCAAACCCTCTCTTAGTGAGTGTGTAATCCAAATCGTAAAATCTATTTGTGGGTTAAGAGAGAATTTGAAAAAGAGTGAAAGCCACCACTTGAGCACTTGTGCATATTGTCTATTTCGTGATTTGCATTTGTTACTCTTGGACTCTTCAGTCCTAGACGGTTAGGCATCGCTGGAGAGCACCCGAGAGATTGTGGTGTGACTCAGAAAGTTTATAACGGTCGATTCTGTCGCCTCAGAATCAACTAGTGGAAGGAGGAAAAGGAGTTGGAAAAGACTTCAGCTAGAGTGACCTTCGCTAGGTTGCCCGTAGCCCCCTCAATGGAGAGTAGGACTCGAACGAGTCCGAACTTCGGTAAAACAAATATCGTGTCTCAATTCGCATTTCATTCGATATTTATGTTGCTCTAGCTCTTGTGCAGGTTCTCTATGTATATTGTCATCTCCAGTACATACCTGTAGTTTGGTTTGAAGATAGAAATCGAAAAGAGCAAGTTTGGGGCTACTCTACAGAAACCGTGCATACCAGACCGTTCGGTATACATACCAGACACATCCGATATTTCTTGCCTGTGCTGAATACATTTGTTCTCTATTCTCACTTTATGTTGCAGGGTTGTAGCTTCTAGATATATTCTTTATACCTTGTATACTCTGTGTCTAACTTGTGAGGGGTGGTATTACTCTTAATTTAGAGTTTCTATTTTAGAAACTCCCTTTACTAATAATTTCTGCATTTAAAGGTGTTAATTTTTAGAAACGCCTATCCACCCTCCCTCTAGGCGACATCCTAGGTCATTTCAATTGGTATCAGAGTAAGGTTCTCACCTAAAGCTTCACTGCCGTGAGAAAAGGATGTCGACGCCTATCGAGTTAGAGCCGGTGCTTCTCTAAAATGATGGTTCAAACTTTCTACCTTGGTTAAATCATGTACTCAATGTTTTTAGGGATATTAGTCCTCTTGTTGAGCATATTGTGGATGCAAGCATACCTCTTCTTATAATTAATTGGAGCAACTACAAAATTTTGTCAAAAGAGGAAGAGATATGCGTGCAACTCAATGCTCAAGCTATTAATATCATTTTGAGTACATTAAGTGCAGAGGTTTAAGATGAGGCAATCTTTAATAGACAACCACCTCCGGAGAGTGCTCATCTCATTTGGACTAGACTTGTTGAGTTATATGGAAAATCCAAATGTGATGATGCACTTGAGATCGAGACAATGGGAAGTTTGTCCATTGTGTCTTCATGTAGCGAAGAAGCCTCACAAGACCTCAAGAGCGCCGAGCCGGAGCAAGAAGTGCAAGCAGCGCATGACCTGCTGTCTGCCTATGCCCACCAGACGTGTCCGGTATGGCCATGGCAGCAGGACAGCAGGCAGTCTGTGATGATAAGGCTCAAGCTCGGTGGTGACCAAGTGATGAGTCAACCTCAGTATCTCATGATACTCATCACTTGTGTCTCATGGCCAAGAAAAACAAGAAGAAGAGTAACAAGAAAGATCAAGAAAAAGAGAAAGCACAAGTGGATGATCAAGATAAGAGTGATGTTGAAGTTGAAGACAACTACAATATTGATCATCTCAACCGCAAGGATAAGTTCATCATCATGAAGATAGTTGAAAAGAATGATGAGCTTGAAGAAGAGATTGAGAAGAAAGAGCAATCACTTCAAAATCAAGAATTGTTTCTCGTCTCCAAGATGGAAGAACTAAAGGCTCTAAGTGAAAGGTATGAAAAATTATCATTTGAGCATGCTTTAGTTACTAACTCTTCTTCTAGTGTTTCACAACTAGAGAAGGAAAACTATGAGCTCAAGGCAAGGCTAGATGAACTATCAAGCAAGTATAATGTGCTACAAGCAAACTATG